TGGTAGGAATAAGTACTGTGCTTTAGTTTAGATTCTTTTTCGTCGTTGTAGATTTTCTAAAGATAACCACAAATACGTTAATGAAGTTTAATTTAACACAGTTACGACTTATCTCACTATTTCAACATATTTTAGCTGCGCATTGGTGTAGTTGTTTTAAAGTATATACGTATGTCAATATTTCCTAAAGGTTTCAATGGGAATATCTTAATCATCGCTTATTACGTACACGGTGTAAACTGTTACATACTAAGTATAAAAGGTTATGTTATACCTTCGGAGCAATTCTACGCTATGAAAGTGAAATTGTATACTTAGAAAAAACACGTCTTATGTCAAACTGTATCAGAGGTCGGTGTAAAATGTCACATAACATGAGTGAAATACAACACCTGATTTGTGACATTTCAAGTACCAGGTGTAACAAAAATGAAGTTTTAAAATTCACATGTTTAAAAATCTGTATCCTGGAAAAACACTCTAGAATAGAATATACTGGTTATAAAGTACCACTTTCGATTACCTGAAATAGTTCAAAAGCTGCTAGGAACTGTTGTATATGATATAATAGTAATAGATGAAATTGTAACTAGCTGACCAAAACGGAAGTCAAGTTATTGGTTTTAAGATAAAACGGAAATAGTTTCATTTCAGGTATTCAGGAATAGGTCACACGTTGTAAGCTGCATGCGTATTGCATCTAATACTCATATTTAAAGTTTCGTCTGCGCTAAATGAAACGTTGCACACGGCCCACACAGACACACACACACACACGCACATACACACGCACGCACACACACGTACGGACAGATTCACATACATACAGACAATATTGCAAAATTGTGCTTTTCTGATTCAGGTAGATGAAAAACGTGAAAGTAAAAAATATCACAGACAGATAGAGAGAGGGGGAGAGAAAGAGAGAGAGAGAGAGAAGACAAAAGGAAGGAACGAAAGAGCGGGGATGAGAGTAAAATGAGATAGAAAAAACAAAAGACAGGTAGTGGATGCATTATCTAACTGGGCTTACTATTCACCAACCTGACATGGTACAAAGGTGTATAAAAATGTACCCCATCTAATTTAGTTAACTGAAGACATTATAAATGCAAACTTGCTTAATTATACGCGGTAAAAAGTGCATTAAGATAATTAGCTGATTAAGATGCACACAATTAAAAAAAAAAAAAACAAACCTTGATATTTTTTGCGGGTTAGTCTATACACAATGTATAACTGACTAGTTTATATGTGTACTCGTAATATCTAATTCGGTCCCATTAAAATACATTTTTGACACATCCCCAGACTCACCTGTAAGACATCCTTAGCGTACCCAGGTACCGTCTTCCTGTTCATTTTCGCCATTTTCTCTAAAGCGGCGTGCGCTTCATCAAGTCTTCCTTTGACGGCAAGCCACCTCACACTCTCTGGGAAATAGCTGCAGATTTTTTTAAAAATATGTTACTTTATTGTACGCATGCTTCGTAAATAAAAATAAATTCTATTATTGAATTAGTTCTATTAAATAAACTAAAAATTTCATTTTCAGACTTTTGGATTTTACATTAAAAACATAAGGTCCCATTTCAAACCAGACGGGCAGGTGAAGGAGAGTTTATATGTTTCTGTGACTTCGACAAATGAAGGTATAGTGTGATATAGTGAGGCGATGTTATTATGATTTATTGTTGAAAATTGTTTAAAATGAATGCTAGGTGAAACTCACGCGACGCAAAATAATCGGGTGCAGTAAAAATAATCGAAATACCGAAACAGTGAGGAGATAACCTCGATGAATGGACGCATCTAACACTTAGAAATTTACTGAAATTTGGGCGGGGGAAAAGATCTATTTGGGCAGTTGCTAGACTGGGCACATAAGATCCCCAACTACGAAATAGGCATATCATTGTCATTGATAAAGGACAGATTGTATACTAATACATGACACGCTATACGTTATGTTGATACGGTCCTATAGCGCGGAAACGAAACTTGTAGTTAGGGGTAAAACATGATCAAGTTGCATCGATTCTACACCCTTGAGATACTAGAAATAGTTCAACATATTCGTTACAACCTAGAGTGATAAATATTATAAATCACTTCTCATTTTTGATAGAGGGAAATATCAGTGACACCATTTAAAAGGTATATTTAGGTGCTGATTATAACAGTATATTTCAACTATCCGGTAACACTAGGCATGAATATAAGAGTATCTTAAAAGTTCCCAAACAAACTGGGCATGAATATAAAAGTATCTTTCAAGTATCCAAACAAACTGGGCATGAATATAAGAGTATCTTAAAAGCAAGTATCAAAATAAACTAGGCATGAATAAAATAGTATCTTACAAGTATCCAAACAAACTGGGCATAAATATAAGAGTATCTTACAAGTATCCAAACAAACTAGGCACAAATATAAGAGTATCTTACAAGTATCCAAACAAACTGGGCATAAATATAAGAGTATCTTACAAGTATCCAAACAAACTGGGCATAAATAAAAGAGTATCTTACAAGTATCCAAACAAACTGGGCATGAATATAAGAGTATCTTAAAAGCAAGTATCAAAATAAACTAGGCATGAATAAAAGAGTATCTTACAAGTATCCAAACAAACTGGGCATAAATAAAAGAGTATCTTACAAGTATCCGAACAAACTGGGCATAAATAAAAGAGTATCTTACAAGTATCCAAACAAACTGGGCATGAATATAAAAGTATCTTACAGCTATCCGAATAAACTAGGCATGAATAAAAGAGTATCTTACAAGTATCCAAACAAACTGGGCCTACATATAAGAGTATCTTACAAGTATCCAAACAAACTGGGCATAAATATAAGAGTATCTTACAAGTATCCCAACAAACTGGGCAGACATATAGCTGCTGTGGCCAGATGTAGATGAGACCAGTCCCTCAGTACCCAGGCAGCTCCAGCGAACACACCCCCTCCTACTGCCCACATAGGTGTCACAATCACAACTCTCCATCTAAGGGGAAGAAACTCGCTACAAAATGGTACCGACGCCACAAGAACGGCACCTAGAAGGAGATATGCGTAATTTTCAAAATAGTATTTATTTCAATTTTTATAAATTTAATGCAAAAATAGTGAAAACAAGATCCGAAAGATATGAAGTAAATATTTCATGGAATTAATTATATAGACAAAAGAAAATATATCAGTAAACTATATATAAACCAACTTCAATATTATATGTTCTGTCTTCTACAAAAGTTTGATGGTAGTCCTACATCTGCACCTTTACTTTTAAGTAATTATTTATCGGAAATAAAAAGCAAAAAAAATCTTATAATACTAAAGCGAACATTGAAAACAAACTGACGCGGTAAATTTTTTGTCTGAGGCAAAAAAAAGTGCTGATGAAAAGCAAATGATTGGAGGAATACCCTCACTTATATTTGTTAAAAAGATCTGACTTCTTCTTCTTCTTCTACGTTCTTACTTTTTATCGTTGAAAGGGATCGAGCCTTATCTGCCAGAGGGTTTGAACTCGAGACTTTTTCGAATTTATCAACCATGAGCTTCTTGCCGACTCGACCACGTCTCCATCACAATTAAGGATACGTGTCAACTGGTTATGCGCCATTGAGGCAATTGACTCCAATTTCAGCCTGCTTTTCTTTTTGGATTTCCATAGCCTTTGTCCAACCAAGAACAAACTACAAGGCAGCAGTTGCTTCATTTTGGAGTTATCTCTCCTAGAACAGTGTCTGTCCCTAGCTAACGAACCCCATCTGCTCGAGGGTTCGAACTCGAGACTTCATCTGCCCGAGGGTTCGAACTCGAGCCTTTTCGGTTTAGCAACCATGAGCTTTACCGACTCAACCACGCCGACCCACAAAGATCTGACAATTTTAGAAACTTTACGACAACTTACCAACAGAAGCCCCTATGAAAAATCTGACCGCACAGAACATTTGCCAACTGACAGAAAAGGCTCCCAGCAAGTTCACAAACCACTGGAGCAGAAAGAAACAGTAGATGGTGTTCTTGCGACCGTACGTGTCCCCTGTCTGTCCGGCCACTGCCGCACCCACAAGGACGCCGGCCATTTGTATGGACACGATCAAAGATTTCACCCACTTCAGGCTGCACACCAAACTCCACTGGGGATAAAAATATGCATTGACATCAACGAAAGCTGGCTGAGAAACACACACACACACACAGAGGCGTAGCGAGGGGGGGGGGGGGCGGGGGGGACATATGTTCCCGGGCGCCGACCTTAGGGGGGGGCGCCAAATTGAAAGTTTGAGGGGGGAGGTGCAAATGAAAAGTTTGAGGGGGGGGGGGTGCAAATCGAAAGTTTGAGGGGAGGGGGTGCAAATGAAAAGTTCGAGGGGGGGGGTGCAAATCGAAAATTTGCTCCCGAGGTGGGCGCCAAATTGAAAGTATGTCCCCGGGCGCCGGGAAGGGTCGCTACGCCTCTGCACACACACACACACACACATATATATATATATATATATATATATATATGTGTGTGTGTGTGTGGCTGTGTCTGTGTGTGGTGTGTGATGGAAACATTTGAACATCCCTCTCCCCCCCCCCCCCCCCCCCCCGCTGTTTAAGAGCATTTAATCGCTATTTGCTATTTGAGTAGGATTTATTGATGGCATATTGTACATTACAATCTATTATGATAAAGAAGTACATTACTTGGATGAAATCTGCTTCTACTTTATTGCTTTGTTAGATTTTAAAGGCTCCTTATTATGAAGATGATCCATAATACCCTCGTATACAGTGGCATAAAGACTGTTGCCATGAGACCAAGGAAAATTTTAAAACCCTTGAATGAAATTTTAATTGTAAATGTTTTCTTCATCAAGTTTGAGCATTTTTTGTATGAAGGAATCGTAAAACGGTAAAATACCAACTATTAAAAAAATGAAACGCAAATAGGACTATTACAGCAGTTTTCTTGGGGGTCCGCAGATAGACCGACGAGCCAGTAAAATGCAATACTATTTTCAAAACGTTTCGTTATGTAGCACAAAGACTTTCACGATTGAAAAGAAATTAATCACCTCAGATATAATTGTTCTGGGTGAGCTCTGGAACAGGAAGTCTGTGCACACGGTGCCGTTGATTCTGCAGACGTTGATGACGTCATACCTGGACTGATTGAACGTCAGGTTGGTGGTATTCTCTCCAGGGGTCAAGCAATTATACGCTGGGGTAACTCCAGCAAAGGTAACCAGCAGCATACTCCAAGCACTCTATAAACATACAAAAATGTATCACAATTGTAAAACCATATTCGATGAATATATTAGCTGCATAGCTTATACTTGAAGGACATATTATACTAGAGCTAGGAATACATTTTAGCAGGAATGTATATGTAGAACACTAATTAAATAGTATGCAACACGATCCATCATTACACAATTGTAAAGATTGTAGGGAAGCGTGGTCGAGTGGTAGAGCGTTGCATAAATAACGCGAGAGTCTCGAGTTCGAGTCCACCAAAATCTGACTCACATTAGGCAAACACAGTCAGCTTTGGCATAGTGCTGACCACACTATCCCTCATATTTCAATGTCCTTTGAACTCTACTCCATCTTCACTTTATATCTTGGGCATGAAGGGAAGGGGTGATAAAAAGTATAGGCAGCATTGGCAGATTAATATTTTACAAACAATAATTCTGGAATCACTATCAAAAATCGTATGTGCCATTTTATGTACCGGTAAATAAGCTATTTTTTCATACATCTTATTTTTTAAATTTAATTTTTTAAGTAGGGGCTGGCTTAGTAAAAAAAAACAATTTTATTTAAACAGAATCTCAGCTTACAAAAAACTTGAGGCCGTAAACGAAAAGAATCAAAAGCAGCTGAAACCGGTTGAATCCACCAATATCTTGGAAGACCTCCTCAAGCGTCATCTTGCTGGCAGTGCGGCAGACACGGCATCGGATCTCACTCAAACACCGGAAGTTATTCACTCTCTGGACTTATCCACGTTCTATTCCTCGTCTTAAATATCTGCCTAGTTCAATTTTTGTGTTTATTTTTTTTTTTTACATACACATGCTTTAATTGTTATAATTTATCAAATTGTATTGTGTCAAAGTATCAAGTTTGCTTGAAGTCATGCGTGACTTATATGCATGCATATGGCGTGGAGGTGTAACATAAAGGTGCAAAATTGTATGTATGTAATTATATTTGTACTGTGGTTATGTGCGTGTGCGTGAGATTTTATGTGTGCGTGTTTTTATACGTCTGTTGTTATATTTAAAACCTTTATAGTTATGAAGTATAATAAAATCAATGAAATCCTTAAGAAGCAAAAATTACCCATAAAATTACGCAAACGATAAGTATCTCTATTTCAGTAAATATTTTCATTATTCCGTTATTTATTATTATATTTTGCATTGGTTTTAAAAACTGCCTTTGATAAAGCGGCGATTTTTATATTATATTATAAAATATGACATTTTAGAGAGGGATATGATTATGTAGAAAAGAAAAGTATTATTAATTGCAACAGTATACGTAAAGACCACCCCCCCCCACCACCACCTATTAAACACCTCTCACACATTCTTAAATTTCAAGAAGTGTGACTGCTTGTTTTAATGAGACTGACGTAATACGCATGTCATGCATGACTTCATACACCAGTTGTTAATTCGACACAATTTAAATTAGAGCGGTACGAAGATGCTAACTTGAAAAAAAAACACGAAACTCGGATGAAGACAAGTTGCTCATGATAAGCAATTTGTGCCCACTTTGAGGAAGAAAACACATTGCATTGTGGTCCATTTTCTACACATCACACTTGATTTATTGTGTTTAGAGTTCTACTCATCACATTTCACATATTGTATTTGGTTGTCTACACCTCACAATGGCGTTAGAGGATGTCTTCGAGGAAATAGGAGGATTTAACCGGTTTCACGTTCTTTTGATTTTATTCGTCTACGGTCTTAAGAGTTGGGTATGTTAAAAAAAATTACAAAACTTGGATTTAAAAAAAGAAGAACCTTCATTATCTTAGAAGAGTTAAGCATCAATATTTTCCTGTGTGTGCCATAAACACATTGGGTAGTACAATTTGGTTGCCATCAACGCTGGGTGTAAGGAGAGACGTTTCACTGATCGGAAACTGGATTCGAACTCGACCACTTTCTCGTTAGTAGTCTAGCTCTCTACCACTAGGCCAAGCGGACCCCTTTAAGATTTCACAAATTTATGAAAAAGGTCGGGTTCAATCTAAGTATAAAATTAGAACGATGGCGTGCGATGGTTTATATTTCTAACTGCTTTCTAGTCCCTACAAGAAAGGGCGTGTCTCTGTGGATTACTCAGCGTATCTACGCTTTAACAAGCAGATATCTAGGGAATTTATTGAATCGTTGGAGGTAGTGGGGTGTATTGAGCTTATACCTGCTATTATTTAATAGTGAGCACAGTATCGGGATACTAAAATTAAGTATGAAAACAAGTAAAGAAGTTCTCAAACTAACACCACACGTATTCATTAAATACAGTTTAAATGTATGTATTTACCACGTTTACATCATTCTAGTGCGCTTGGAGCATGTTGATAATTAGCTTTGCTGGAGTTATCCCCACGTATTACTGCACGGCCCATAGTAACAACACCATAACATGGGAGGCTAATCAGTCCAGATATGATACTACAACATGGGGAGCTAATCAGTCCAGGCATGATACCATAAACGTCTGTGAAATCAATGGCACCATGTGTACAGAGTTCCTGTTTCAGAGTTCTCCAAGGACAGCAATTTCTGAGGTAAATATTTCTGGGTATACTTTGAATAATTATGTACTGGTATCTACTGATGATAAGAAATATTTGGTTAAAAAAATTCAGCATTTTTGTTTATACAACTAGCTAGCACTAAATATTTTCATTGCATTATTCAACATAGAAAGCTGTATACGTAAACGCTTGTCCTTTACCGACACAGTACACAATCATAAAACTCATCTTTAACGAAAACTTAAAAACAATAAACAGCTTAACCAATCTTTAAATTTGTATAATCTAGCTTATTAGGAATGATTTAGTAGATTTACTATTAGGGGTGATTTATTATGCATGTAAAGGAAGAAAAACAATTATGGCTTATCAGAAAAAAGTGGGACGAGAAAGTCCCGAACATGAAAATACGACAAAGGACAGGCTAAAACGACATTGTTTCAGAAGTACACATGAAGAGATGGAGATGGCTGGGTCGTGTCCAGAGGCGTATCCAGGTTTTCATTGCAGGGGGAGCGAAAAGAGCAAAGAAGGCGCTGAATTTTTAACACGTTCTATATATGTGTATTATATATATATATATATATATATATATATATATATATATATATATATATATATATATATATATATATATATAATTACTAGCTGTATGTCATTACTTCGCTATGATGTAAAATAAATTGAAAGTAGCACTCGGAAGAAATTAAAAAAAAAACACAATGTAGGCCGACAAAACAATAATTGTATCAATCTAAACAAAATATATATATATATATATAAATATATATATATATATATATTTATATATATATATATATATATATATATATATATATATATATATATATATATATATATATATATATATATATATATACACACTACAACCAAAAACTATGAACGTAACACAATCTGTTTTGTAATTCTTGCAAACAAAATTTCTTACATAATAATTCCTGGGAAATTATTTAAGACAAGTGAAATAGGGGAAATAATCACTCTCTTAATATAAATATGTATTTATCCACACATTTAACTATAAATGTCAAAACAAATAAATAATTACTTTAGAATATAATGAAATTGTTTAACGCTATTCTTGTTTACAAAATGTTTTTATGTATAATCAGAATTTAATATATCGTCATCATAAATGCTAAAGTATTACAGCATAATGAAAGTTTTAAAATCAGAGTTGGTATAAAACCACGCTTTTCGATATGAATGAGAAACATTCGGAATAACAGCCTACATTTAATTAACTATTGGTCTTTTAGTTCAGATCATATATTTTAATTAACTACTGCTTCTTTGAGTTCTTTAAAGATCATTTTTAACATAGTGATAGGTATGGGTTAGATCACTGTATTGATCACAAACCTTTTTACTGGTAATTGCAAAAACAATATTCACAGAGTTTAACGTTTAAAAAGCTAATTTTCTGGCGGCATGGTACTTTGGTATATCATTACGCGTTTTTCTACATGTACTTAACAGATCAGTTCGGGGTGAGTCGGGGGGTGGGGGGGGGGGGTCAACTTCATTCACCACTGTCCGTTCACTTTAGGTCAATTATCCAACCCAGTGTATACCTAGGTGTGACATTAATGTCGCTCTACACAATTGTGGTGGTGAGGTGGGGTGGATAACCAACTCAGAGTGAACATAGCGTCAGTTTTTAGATGACTGTTCTAAACATACATATATATTACACAAATATATATTACACACATATATATTACAGAAATAGATTTAAATATGTAGCAGTGGTATTATGACAATTTTTTTTTTACCGAGGGGTCCATGGGGGAGGGGGGTTGTAACTGTTTCATATAATTTGTAATCGTAATCACTATCGCCCAAACTGTAAGAAAACTACTACTTCATCATGATGATGTTGTCGACCTTGTCAAAAGTTCCCTACCACTACGCAGTTTGCTCATAAGTAAATTTAAATAGAGGTGCCACATCAGTTGTATTTGTTTCTGTATTGTAATTTTTTTTAAATTAATCACACGATTCAAACTGTATATATAAAGTAATTATTTGTGAAGTTTTATGTTTAACATTTTCTAATTCAATTATTCGTAAGCAAATACATTATACAGTTGCCTTAAACTTAACACCCCTCTTGCCAAGTGGTACTACCCGTAGAGGTTTTTTAAACATTGCAATGCATTGTAATGGTTATTTTTAGAATGGCAAACTGATGCAGCTGTTAATACGTGTTGTAAACGTAGACACTACTAGACTAGGACAATAATGCTTAATTACTGCATAAAAAGAAATCTTGTGATTTACATAGATGTGCCGACCAAAACTATTTTTTTAACAAATACCATTGTTTAAAACTTTGAGTTTAAAAAGTTTCCAAAAAGGCGCCACTTTGCTGAAAATGGCCAGAGGGGGAGCGGCCGCTCCCCCTGCTCCCCCCCTGCGTACGCTACTGGTCGTGTCCTTCGCATGAACAGAAGAAGACTTCCGAACATAGCGCTGAAGTGGACTCTGCCTGGAAAACGAAAGGGAGGAAGACCACTGGGAACATGGAGGAGAGAGATGGAAGAAGAAGTACAGGCTACTGGCAAGACCAGGCATGAATTGAACTGGCTCGCCCAAGACAGAGAGGAACGGCGGAGATTTGTTGCTGTCCTATACTCCACAGGGAGTGACGAAGATTAACGAAGAAGAAGAAGAATCAAATTTTAAAGCCTACACTCGTTGATCAAGTCTCGATACGCATGTATCCTTACATACTGTTTGTTCCCAAAAGAAAGCTTTTTGATTATCGTATATTTGATGTCATCGACTTACCCATCAATGCATATTTTTCCCCAGTGGAGTTTGGTGTGCAGCCTAAAATGGGTGAAATCTTTTATCGTGTCCATACAAATGGCCGGCGTCCTTGTGGGTGCGGCAGTAGCCGGACAGACAGGAGACACGTACGGTCGCAAGAACACCATATACTGTTTCTTTCTGCTGCTGATGGGGATGAATATCGTGTCCGCTTTTTCTGTCAACTGGCAGATGTACTGTGCGCTTCGTTTTTTCATCGGTTTGTCCATAGGTAAGCTCTTTAACAGCTGATTGGATAAATAGTTAAAAGTCACTTTTCACTCTCTCACTATTAAGAGCAAAACAAATTATACATGAACATAAAACACGTTGTTTGAAGTATGTATCGAGTATTTTTTATTAATAAGATTAAATGATACATACTAAAGAAAAGCTCCCCTTTCTGACCTACGTTCCATAAGGCAGATGAAGTAAAGTTCATGTTTCTTGATTTCTGCATAGTAAAATGATGTGTGGTCAACACTATGTCCAGCCGTCTTTACTGTCCCCAACGTGAGTCAGGTATCCATTAGAGCTGGGTGGACTCAGGAGCGTCTTGTAGTGCCATGTCCGGAGTAAAAACTGAACTCGATACCTTCAGGCTCATTGCCGAACGCTCTACCATTCGACCTCGGTGTCCACATGTTTTAAACTAAGCTATAATTTGTGTTGTAATTTCACCTGAAACACATTTACTTTGTAGTTTCAGTACTGATTTTATACAATAGGATATGAGTACATTTCTTGAAAAAAAATATTTATTTTAAAGATATTATTGTTAATATTATATGTTTCTTTCAGGGGCAATTCTGGTCGCAACTGTTCCCTTCTGTAGCGAGTTCCTTCCCCCTAGATGGAGGGTGGTGGTTGTGATTCCCATGTGGTCAGTAGGTGGGGGTGTGTTCGCTGGGGCTGCCTGGGTCCTGAGGGACTGGTCACACCTACATCTGGCCACAGCAGCTATATGTCTGCCCAGTTTGTTTGGATACTTGTAAGATACTCTTATATTTATGCCTAGTGTTATAGGATACTTGTAAGATACTCTTATATTTATGCCCAGTTTGTTTGGATACTTGTAAGATACTCTTATATTTATGCCCAGTTTGTTTGGATACTTGTAAGATACTCTTATATTCATGCCTAGTGTTATAGGATACTTGTAAGATAATCTTATATTTATGCCCAGTTTGTTTGGATACTTGTAAGATACTCTTTTATTTATGCCCAGTTTGTTTGGATACTTGTAAGATACTCTTATATTTATGCCCAGTTTGTTTGGATACTTGTTAGATACTTTTATATTCATGCCTAGTTTGTTTGGATACTTGTAAGATACTTTTATATTTATGTCCAGTTTGTTCGGATACTTGTAAGATACTCTTATATTTATGCCCAGTTTGTTCGGATACTTGTAAGATACTCTTATATTTATGCCCAGTTTTATAGGATAATTGTAAGATTTTCTTTTATTCATGCTTACTGTTATAAGATACTTGATACTCTTATATTCGTGTCAAGTGTTATCGGATATGTAAGATACTTTTATAGTAATTCTTAGTATTATCGGATAGTTGTAAGATACTCCTATAGTAAAGCCTAGTATTATCGGGTATGTGTTAGATTCTCTTAAATTAATGTTGAATATTATATGGTACTTGTAAAATATTGGTAATAATTTGTAATGAATTTTGATATGTTTGTGGTTGTGATGGATGTGTATCTTAATACTTGCTTGTTTGAGGCAATAAATGAATATTTATTGTATATATGTATAATATCGTATAGGGTTCATTTATAATACTTAATATATTGCGAGAAATACGAATAATTGTACTAGGTTGTGCATGAGAGAGCAAAAGAAGTGAGATTGCGGCCCTTTTTGGAGTTTACAGATTTTTATTTAAGTTTAGCGTCGAATGGAAGAACTTATAAGTGCTAATATTATAGCTCGAGTTCGAATCCCGAAATACTTAGCAATTGAAAGTAATGTATTAAGTGTATTAGTCACTTTAATCGGTTGTAGAAAGACTTTGTTGAAGCATATTATTCGCAGATTATCATTATTTTCTTGAAAATACTTTTCTGATGTAACGAAGCAGGTATTTAACTTAAAGTTTTATTTAAAATTGAATAACGTATTCACTGAACACAATCTCCAGCTATTTCCCAGAGAGTGTGAGGTGGCTTGCTGTCAAAGGAAGACTTGATGAAGCGCACGTTGCCTTAGAGAAAATGGCAAGAATGAACAGGAAGACGGTACCTGGGTACGCTAAGGATGTCTTACAGGTAAGTGTGGGGAGATGGTCTAATATTTTATTTATTTTACTAACCGATACCTACTATGTTAGTTAATGAATTGCTTTGTTTTTACTGAAAAAAATTTACAGAATGTTTTTAATTTTCAATTTTTTTAGAAAATCTACAACGACGAAATCGAATTCAAATCAAAGGGAAACAACTATTTCTATCGTGATGTCTTCAAAACTTGGGAAATGGCAAAAACAACTTGCATCTTATCATTTCATTGGTAATTTTTTCCTAGAAATATTAACTTTTGATATCATATATTTTTTATATGTAATTAGAATTTCTCATTTTATATTATTAATGTACTAAAGTATTTTTTTTTTAATTTATTCATTAAAAATGCTTCATCATAATTTGGAACGTAGTTATTGATTGGTAAACATTAACTTTAAAGAAAGCTAAACTCTTAATGTTGACATTGATTGAGGATAAAGACACGTTCTTAAATCTTGAATGATAAATACATTTTAGTTGAAAACTGTGTAGTGCAATATACTTTTTAAGATAAAAATAAAATCAAGCCTACAAAAATTAAAAGAAGGTGCATGTTTAATCACTTTTATGACATTATTGCAAATACAAACTATTATCTGTTGATAAAATAGCTATACTTTCAATCTTGATTGTGATAAAGGGTACCATATTGAAGTTAAGGGTCTGTATGCTTGCTTTAGATTGAACCAACAACGAAAAAAGGATTACGACAAAATGACTGGCGGTCGTAGAATTGCATTTGTTGAAACGGTTGATAGTTTTGTATTAGTATTTTCCTATTATTTGATAGTTTTTTATTAATATTTTTCTATTATTTTATAGTTTTTATTAGTATTTTCCTATTATCGAAACTGTTTTGCATAAAAAAAGCAAATTTATTAATTTATGCCCTACAGTATTTTGTTTTACTTTATGCAGTTGAAATTTTAAAAAAACAACATTATTTTAATATTATACGCTGGATATTTAGGTTCATGAAATTAATTTTTTATTGTCTTAAGTAAAAATAATAAGAAATTATATAGATGGCATGAACCCTATAAAATATAGCACGTCGACTCATGCAGCGTTTTTCAACTATTTTAACCCTCTTGTATTCTCAGGATCACAATGACCATCACATATTACGGCCTGACATTTGCTGCGCCAAGTCTCGCAGGGAACCTGTATCTCAATATTTTTATCATGAATTCCATAGAAATACCCGCCAATCTATCGGCCATATTTTTATGTAACAGGTCAGTTCTGGGTACATACATATGTTGTAAATAATATTCTTGGTAATGATAAAGGTTTAGGAGTGCAACGATTAAAATTTAGGAGTTGTTAAAATTAAGGGAGTAAATAATAGCGTGTTGCAGTGTAAAAGGGAGGCAATTACGTTTATCCCGAATGCTTAGTATTACTAGAGTGGCGTACCTGGACGTATCTGTCATCTTCTATATTTAGAAATAACATTGCAGTGCTTTAGATAAATTAAGTATATGTATCATCACTTTCGTGACCTGGGACTTAGGAAATCGAATAAACTGCTGCCCTTATTACCCAACAACAATCTAGTTAATTTAACAATATTACAAAATACAGGAACGCTAAAGCCTACGTCTATAATGAAGTAGCTTTATAAAAAATCGAGTTATTAAGCTGGTAGAACGTGTATCAAATAGGCCTACATTTAAATGATTTAAATACTGTATATTTTTTAATGTACACATTTTGCAATTAATATTTACATAATTTGTAAAAATATTGTGGTTATAAAATTATTGTAGCCTTGTATTGAAGATAATTTTCAACGTTGAAAAACTGTATTTGAGTTGAAGAAAAGGACGTCCATACAATCCTCGTTTGTTTATTAAAAAAAAAAATTTAAATGGATAATGTAAATAAAGTTTTCTTTACAGGTTTGGTCGAGGACATTGCTGCAGATCTTTTATGGCGATCGCCTGTGTGGCGAGCTTTGGTTGTCTGGCGGCTCGTACGTGGGGTAAGTGTTTGGGTCGTGTTAGCGGAATAGACGTACCCTGGGACAGACGGAGATACACGGACGAACAGATACACAAACACATGGACGGACTGCCGGACGGATACACGTGCACACTGATGCACGGACAGACTGTCACACGAACGTACATATAAACAGACATGAGGACACAAAGATACACTGGCGCAGGGACACACGGGCACACACACACACGAACAGACAAACAAACACGGTAGTTAAACACGCATGGAAAAAGACAATCTGTACAACACTGCATTCTGTAACAAGGAATTGCCGAATGAACCAAATGTTGACTGACAAAATGGAACACATGTTGAATGACCTAACGGGACATATGTTGACTGGACCTGTTTTAACTGACCTAATGGAACACATGTTGAATGACCTAACGGGACATATGTTGACTGGACCTGTTTTAACTGACCTAATGGAACACATGTTGAATGACCTAATGGAACACATGTTAAATGGCCTAACGGGACATATGTTGGCTGGACCTGTTTTGACTGACCTAATGGAACATATGTTGAATGACCTAACGGGACATATGTTGACTGAACCTGTTTTAACTGACCTAATGGAACACATGTTGAATGGCCTAACGGGACATATGTTGACTGGACCTGTTTTAACTGACCTAATGGAACACATGTTGAATGACCTAACGGGACATATGTTGACTGGACCTGTTTTAACTGATCTAATGGAACACATGTTGAATGACCTAATGGAACACATGTTAAATGACCTAACGGGACATATGTTGACTGGACCTGTTTTAACTGACCTAATGGAACACATGTTGAATGACCTAACGGGACATATGTTGACTGGACCTGTTTTAACTGACCTAATGGAACACATGTTGAATGACCTAACGGGACATATGTTGACTGGGCCTGTTTTAACTGACCTAATGGAACACATGTTGAATGACCTGATGGAACACATGTTAAATGACCTAACGGGACATATGTTGACTGGACCTGTTTTGACTGACCTAATGGAACATATGTTGAATGACCTAACGGGACATATGTTGACTGGACCTGTTTTAACTGACCTAATGGAACACATGTTGAATGACCTAACGGGACATATGTTGACTGGACCTGTTTTAACTGACCTAATGGAACACATGTTGAATGACCTAACGGGACATATGTTGACTGGACCTGTTTTAACTGACCTAATGGAACACATGTTGAATGACCTAATGGAACACATGTTAAATGACCTAACGGGACATATGTTGACTGGACCTGTTTCGACTGACCTTTTGGAACATATGTTGAATGACCTAACGGGACATATGTTGAATGACCCAGTGTTGAATGACCTAATGGAACACATGTTGAATGACCTAATGGAACTCTCGTTGACTGACCCAGCGGATGACCCACTAACCTGATTTACCCCCATGTTTTTCCCAGCCCCCACCCACCAGGCCCCGCTTATTGTAACAGGCCTGAGTCTCGTGGCCAACCTAGGGGTAGGGGGGAGCTGGGGGAGCTCCCAGGTGTGGATAGGTGAGATCTACCCCACGGTCATAAGGTAGGCGACAGTTTCCAAATCAAGTCTCTAATTATTATTCATACAGCTTATTATTTTAGAGAAACGTATTTGTATTAATTGTGTAACCCTGATCTAGGTTTAAATCTCTACTAAGGAAATTTAAACGCCAGTTGTATACATTCATTATAATTATAAGTAATCACATTTTATATTAGATCTTCTAATCACGCATTACATCTTTTTTTTATTCACCATCATATATGGGTAATTCAATTTACCTTAGAGGGGTTCGACGTGATCATATTGGTTAAGCACATGGTTTATGGACCGAAAAGTGCAGAATTTGAAACCCCTGGCAGATGAGACTCAAAACTGAGGACAGCCACTCTTCTAGGAGAGACAACTCCAAAATCAAACAACTGCTGCCTTGTAGTTTTTCTTTGGTTGGACAAAGGCTATGGAAGCAAATCCAAATAGAAAAGCAGGCTGAAATCAGAGTCAACGAATAGCGCAAGCAAAGTTAAGGCGTAGTACGTAGTTGTGTTGGAGAGAATCCCTTCTAGCCAAATAGTTAAGAAAGAAAAAGACAGAAGAAGATGAAAGTTACCTTATACTTCCTTACACCTTCGCCCGAAATTCGCGAGTGAATTCACTCACACATTAGTCATGTTGCTGCAAGGTTTTTTGTTAACATTTTGATTTTTGCATCCAGTTTTGACGGGTAGCCTACATGATTCACGTGAGGGAAATTTAGGCGGCCTAGCATAATGCTGACCACACTCTCTTACTGCATTCCGAGCTCATTGAATTAGATGAGCTCTACTTCATCTGTCTCATACGGGGAAAGATGACAATTAGCTTAGCATGTTTGTGTGTATACATCAATATTTGATGTTTGCTATATTTACATCAATATTTGATGTTTGCTATATTTACATCAATATTTGATGTTTGCTATATTCTCATCAGTATTTGATGTTTGCTATATTTACATCAATATTTGATGTTTGCTATATTTACATCAATATTTGATGTTTGCTATATTTACATCAGTATTTGATGTTTGCTATATTTACATCAATATTTGATGTTTGCTATATTTACATCAATATTTGATGTTTGCTATATTTACATCAATATTTGATGTTTGCTACATTTACATCAATATTTGATGTTTGCTATATTTACATCAATATTTGATGTTTGCTATATTTACATCAATATTTGATGTTTGCTATATTTAAAGTTTACCCTGTGTCACAGATCTCTGGCTTATGGAGTTATGAACACTGTTGCTAGAGTGGGAGGTATCGTATCGCCATACGCTGTCAATCTTGTAAGTCTCGTTGGGAATACCTTAGTTGTTAGCTTTTAGTCTCATTGATGTATAACATTCATTGCTAACAAAAAACAAGATTTATATCAACTGTACTTTCAGGACGATCGTGAAGTCCTGTCTTACGTCATCATGGGGTCAATGTCCGGTCTGTGTGTACTGCTGCTGATGTTTGTAGAAGAGACCAAAGATTGTCTTTTACCTGAGAGCCTTCACCAAGCTGACGTCAAGACTGCAGCACAGAGCAACGGAGTTCACAAGGAACTATCTGGACAGCTACACCTGAACATGAACGACTTAAGCGTCTTGAAAGATAAACCCAATGAAACTAAAAAATTGGAAATTTTAAGTGCTCCGGTCTCAGATTATCATCTCAGAAAATTCCCAAAGTTCGAGGATAATTCTAATCATGAAAAATATCAAAATGTTTCTTTGAATTCCAAGAAAGTTTTATTTTCCAAAAATACGGAAATTAATTATGTGAGCAGTGGCAAAATAAATACCAGTTTTAGTGTAGACAATGTAAACTCAAAAGATAACACTAGCTCCACTTGTTTAAATAGCAAGGAAAAAATGAACAAACTCACCGGGGAGACTATGAATCAAGAAATATTTATTATTGCAACACATCTGTAGCGCAGACTTTTTTTTTAACTATGACGCTTTATAAAGAAAAAAAAAAACAAGATTCGATATTAAACATAACTGAAATTAATATATTTATTAATTTTGTAGGCCTAATTGTTTATTCTATTTTTAAATTTGAAATCTATAGAAGAAAATAGTTAAAGTAATTTGTCCAACTATGCCAAATGGTATTCACTTCCCCTTTGTTATGTAGAGTATGCATGTCCAATAAATGTAAAAGTAATTATCATTCATTCTTGTTTTAATGATTTCGCAAACTCGAGTCCAAGATTGTAATAAACCAAAAATTTAGATGATTAAAAATATTTCATTACGTTCAGCTACATGTTATTTTTTTACATGGTTAATTATCAGGCCGGAACTGAATTGTATATTTATATTAATATTTGAGCAACACCGCAACACGTTCCACTAACAGAAACGCAGATTTAAAATGGTTACCGCCCGTAAAGATTAGTCTTATGCAGCGCAAACTGCTTCGTAGGAAAAAGGTTGAGGAAATTTGTCAGACCTTCCATTCCTAAAAAAAGCTTATTTTCGTTTTCTATTCTCGTTGTTTCAAATAGATTTTTCGACTATAATTTCACATTTTGTTTTGTCATATTATTATAATTAACAGGTGGGCACAGTGTTACTGTGCATTATTGCGCGATTGTTCAATACGCTAACAAAAGCAAAAGACCAATAAGAAAAAAATGGCTTTGATCCTACCATAAATAAGACTTATCAGAAACTTATATATATATATATATATATATATATATATATATATATATATATATATATATATATATATACATATATATATATATATATATATATATATATATATATATATATACATATATATATATATACACTGTTATCTATAAATTATGGATTATAATTTTTTTGAGACATAGGTAGGTTTTCATGGTGGATGAAGAGGCCAGCCAGTACAGAGAAAGAGCACCGTGACTATTATGGTTGGTTACTTCCCATATGTAGAATTAAATAAAGTACGGTAGACAACGTTTAACTTTGTTGGTAAATTTGTCCCAAATACATTAGAATCCAACTGGCTGTAACAAACATCAAAAATGTTATTCATAATTTTTTTTCTAAACTTTAATTTTTGCAATTTTTTTCAAAATAACAATTTTTCTTAAAACTGTGTATAATATTTTATAATTGAGTTTAAACTAGAAACTTTACATTTATTTCATTATGATTTAGTAGCCAAGCGACACTTAGGTTAGTATATGGGATCCTCTAGCTTGTATTAATGGTCTGGAAACTACCATTTACGAATTATATTGTTATATTGTAAAGCAACCCCCTTCCCCACACTTAAATAAACACAGACACTTCCCGACCCCCCCCCCCCCACTCAACCTTACTGGCGGATATTTTAAGGTAGCTTGCTCACTTCGCCAAGGGTCAAACTTATGTCATGGAAAGTTTGGGAATGATAGATCAGTATGTGTATTACAGAGACACTTCTCCCACGGTCGCTTCTATTTCTGTCCATGGGTGGCTACAATGTGAACTTTTGACTCCGCAGCTAAGGACGGAGCACAGAAATCTAAGCAGTCAAGAGAAACCTAGTTTGCACACCTTATTTTAGTCTAGTTCTTATGCCATGTTATTTTCTCCCTTTGATTATTATATATGCAATTGATGTTCTTGTCTTTGATGCTGTGTAAAATCTATCAAATAAATTTTTATTACTGATTTAAATGTTTAAAACAATTAAATTAATTAAAAAAAAAACAACAACTGAGGACTGTATAGATATAGATGTTTGAAAGGGAAGAAGGTTTGCTTTGACGTGTCTCATTGTAATAACATAACTTTTCCGATTGCTTAAAATTTGTATCATTTTAATTCTCTGTAATCCCAAATTTATTTCAACTCTACTTAAAAACCAAAATTCCACCCTCTTCCCCTCTCCCCCCCCCCTGAATCATCATTTAATTACACATTTGCATTTTTAGTTTCAGGTTGGTTTTTTTTTTATTTTTATATTTTTTTTATATTTAGACGTTTTGTATTAGATCTATGTATAAGTAAACCATCTTAAATGAGTGAAAGCAGGCTACATGTAAGAAGAAATATTACTATTGTAAATCTGTATCAGTCCTCACAAGCCGATGATGAAAACTGTAACACTAAAGCGAACACACAACTGACGCTATAAATTATACATGTCTGAGGAGGGAAAAAAATATTTTAAAGCAAAAAGATCTAGTCTAGCCATTGAAAACAGAAGACCGAAAAGTGTAAAATAAACGTAACAGGTAATAAATTAACTTGGAAGGAAAACCTGTGACAGATTGTCAAGAAATGCTAGAAATCAGTGGCGTAGCCAGGATCATCTCAAGGGGGGGGGGGGGGGGGGGGGTTCCAATTTTTACCAGTGGACAAACTTTTGATTTGCACCCCCCACCCCTCAAACTTTCGATTTGCACCCTCCCCCCTCATACTTTATATACATACCGAGGGGTCTATGTGGGGGTGGGTTATGTAATGATCGTCTCAGCAAGAAAGTGCGGGTGAAGTGCAATGAAGATGACACCATAGGAGACTTGAAGAAGTTGATAGCTGCACAAACTGGCACCATAGTTGACAAAATATTATTAAAGAAATGGTACACAATCAGAGACGTAGCGATGGGAGGGGGGGGGGCAGGGGGGTACATATGTCCCCGGGCGCCGACCTTAGGGGGCGCCAAAATGGGTTGTAAAAACAAATTGAAATGTCATTTTAGCTGAATTTTTTGCAATATAAATAGTTTGAGGGGGGTGGGGAGGGGGTGCAAATCGAAAGATTGAGGGGAGGGGGGGGTGCAAATCGAAAGATTGGGGGGGGGGGTGCAAATCGGAAGTTTGAGGGGGGTGCAAATTGAAAATTTGCTCCCGAGGGGGCGCCAAATTGAAAGTTTGTCCCCGGGCGGCGGGAAGGGTAGCTACGCCTCTGTCCACAGTATTCAAAGACCACGTTACTCTGGGAGATTATGAAATTCACGATGGAATGAATTTGGAGCTCTACTACCAATAACCATGTATGCCTCGTCAACTCCCACACTGTACATTATCAATTATCATTTCATCAAAAACTTTGAATAATTTTCCTGGGATTGGGTGCTTTTGTGGTTCATTTGATATTTACTTTCGTGTAGAACCTAGTTATCAGTTTTAAAAAAATTTAAAAGGAAAGGACAGAAAGGACATAGAGAAATTGTTTTTCTTTTTTTTAAACTGTGTTTACTGGTTTACTTTACATTACTTCAATAAAAGATAAACATGAAATGTTTAAAATGTTGTTGTATTCAGCTATCACAAATGTGTAAAGTGTCCACCTTGTAAATAAAATACTGTTATACTGCAAAAAAAATGGTTTTTCTGGTATAAGCTTATATGTATTTTGCTTGCACTGTCTGTCTGCTGCCTGGCTCTCAGAGTTTCTTCCAGGCATCTCTTCGCCCCCCCCCCCCCCCCGAAAAGTTTTACCGCCCCCCCCCCCTCCCCGAACGAAATGAAATTTATATAATTTATATAGAAAATATATACTTTTAACAGTGTCCGCCTCCCCCCCCCCCCCCCCGAAGAAAATTTACCCCCCCCCCCCCCGAAAATTTTAAGTGCCTCCCCGGAGAAGAAAGTCTGGAAGAAACACTGCTGGCTCTATCGTCATGGATCGAAAAGGGCGAGCGACAGATCCAATACAAAGTCTGCCCGTGGGTCAAGACTTGAAGACAATGCAATCTGACATCAAATTTGACTTCAATGGATACTGCACTAAGTCACTAAGAAAAAATAAAAAGCTGCTGATCAAGAGATACCTTCCTAACATATCTGTCTCGAACAATGCTTTCAACTTAGCAAGATAGACCATCATAATGGGATGGAGATCGGATAAATTCTTCACAAACTTCATACTTCACATACCCCTTTACTGCGTCTCTAGTACACCTCGTACACTGATCAGAAAGACTACCCCCCCCCCCCATTGTAAATTGTTGACTTAAACCCTCTATAAAGTTTTAACATTTGCAGCATTAAAAATAACAAAATAGTTTTGTAAACTATGTTATGTAAATAATTTATTTTAAGGGGATCCTAACAATTTAAACAACTACATTTCAAAATCCATTTAGACAAATTTAGGTGTTTATTTTCCATTAACAAAACAAGATGTAATGTTTTAAGTACTAATAGATGAGCTAACACATCAATTCAACTGCTAAAAACCAGCATGTAAAAACTTCACATGCCGACACAGAAAAAATTACAGTAAAACATGTTTCTTACAGGTTTTTTAACATGTCCTCATCAGAAGGTAAAATATTGGACAAAGCTGCTTTTGGTTGACTTTTGTTTAGTTAAAACAAAATATACACAAAACACAACCAAAAACAATAAACGCAACACACTTTGTTTTCTAAGCATTATAAAAAAAACAATTTGACACAATGGCATTTTATTAAGTCTGTAGGGGAAATAATCACTCTCTTAATATAGACATGGGTCTACATATTTAATTGTTATTGTCTAATTCAAACAGATCAATAATTATTTTACTATTTAATATAGTAGCTTATTACTAAAAAATGTCTACACTCAGAATTAAATAAATTTTAACATAAATGCTAAAACATCACAGTTTGTGAAAGCTGAGTTGGCATAAAAACAAATTTCAAACTAACACTATAATTTAATAGGTGAATCAGTTTCAATATTAGCCTACAAAATATTTATTTTTACACTTTGAATTTCAGATCTTCACATCTTTGAATCAGCCACTGCTTTGTGTGTTCTTCAAAGATTATTTTTTAACATAATGAGAAGGAGTAGGAGAGATCACTGTAGTGCTGCTCACACACCACTTTACTGGTGATTGCAAAAACAATATTCACTAAAGTTCTCCTGTTACAAAATTGTAATTGTAAAATAAACAACTAGATGTATAGTTATTCTTTATTTGGAGTTTGCTTTATTGATATATTGGAGGCAGTTTCACTCTTAGACGTATCAACAGTGTTTTTATACCTAATTTACCTGAGGTATTTAAGTATATGTTCATCAAGTACATCTTTACGTGATGACCATCTTGGTTGATACTAACGTTCTTGACGTTGTGAAGAAAATGGTGTGGTGTAGTTTGGGGTGGGTAGGTTGGGGTTTGGTCTACTCCGTGTGTATGAGTGGTTTTTGTGTGTAGTGTAGTAGGATGTGGTGTATTGGGAATGGCGTGGGATAAGTAACTGGGTGTGGATCATGTAAGTAGGCTGTGGTGTATTGGGAATGGTGTGGGATAAGTAACTGGGTGTGGATCATGTAAGTAGGATGTGGTGTATTGGGAATGGCGTGGGATAAGTAACTGGGTGTGGATCATGTAAGTAGGCTGTGGTGTATTGGGAATGGTGTGGGATAAGTAACTGGGTGTGGATCATGTAAGTAGCGCAGTTGGGATGTGGGTTGTACAATGTAAAGTAAAGGGATATGAATCCTGGATAGTGGGTTTTAAATGTACATTGTAGGGTGTAGTGCTTTTGCGAGGTGGGATGTGCGATGTTGTGGTTCAGGATGGCGGATGACATTCAAGAGTGTGTTGACGTGTGGACCGGGATTGTGTGGGGGTTTGCAGAGGAAGAATATTGTCTATGAATCAAGTCTATGAATCAAGTGTTACTCCATTCTAATGTTTGCAGCATTGGTGGGACACCCCATAGAAACATCTGCTTTCTAGTATTAGTACAGTATTAGTACAGTTAGAAGAAAGTCCGAGGATAGCCCTGAGCAAGTCACACCCTGCCATTGACACGCCTGATTCAATTTAGTGAACGACTATAATAGGGTGAGAGTTGTAGACCTTGCACCGTAACATGGTTGATCCAACCATCATAAAAAAAAAAACATTTAAATTTTTTTTTTCTTCTCAATTTAATCACTATTTTAGTAAGCAATAGTCACAAGACATTAAACTGTTATCGGTTTTCTTTTATTATTTTTTTTTATATGAAGATGGATTTGTTAAGAGTTAAAAAAAACATTGAATATAGTGAGGTTGCCACATTGATCTATCATTGTTCGTGTCGTCTTGCCTAGAACGCCAATTGTAGTTGACTAAGACAGACAAACTCTTCTTCTACTAACCCAGTAGCATCTGGGTAGTGAGGTGTAAATAGACTAATACGTTTTTCTATTCTGAGTAAGCCTAGTGATATCTTTGTTTTGAATTAATGGCTATTAGTAAATGATATGTTTCAAGGCATTGTTAATATAGGCATTTTAATGCGGAATATGACCAATATAATATTTACTCGTACTTATGCTTTTTAATGTATTCATTAACTCTTCTCAAAAGTAAATTCTTGTAAAGTTTGCATTAAACTTAATCAGGCAAATTTTCGATATTTCTACATCTTTGTAGATATAATAAATATTTCTTCATTTACTTCTGCCTGATTTAATCTGCAAGTGTTTTGCTCTTCATTACCCCGAGCTTCATCACTTTCATCATTACGCATTACAGTCTCTTGACTCAGAACTATGTCATCGTATTCGGCATCATTATTGTTGTTTTTCTCCGTGTTTTCTAAAAACGAAACTGACCTTCCATTTTGGTATACAGATCGACTTTTTTCTTGACAAAAATTTCCATGTTGGTTATTTAAAATTGTAGCGGTTAGAACCTCTATGTTTTGAGTTCCTGTTTTATTTTCAACTTGCAGATCTGTCTTATCATATTCGTTCACAGGTATTTGATCAGGCGATTTCTTGTTGGTACCGGTACTCTGTGCGTCTGTCTTGACGTCCACTTGATAAAGGCTCTCCTGCAGAGGACGATCTTTGGTCTCTTCTACAAACATCAGCAGCAGTAAAGACAGTCCGGACATTGACCCCATGATGATGTACGACAAGACGGGACGGTCATCCTGAAAGGGATTTATACCCACAGTTCATTTTTTTTGGCTTAAACAAATAAAATATCTAACATTATCCTTCACAAATCGATATTAATGAATAAATAATTTTCAACCAAAACGTACAAGATTGACAGCGTACGGTGATAATATTCCACCAACTCTGGCGAAAGTGTTCATCACTCCATATCCCAGGGATCTGTATTATATAATATATATATATATATATATATATATATATATATATATATATATATATATATATATATATATATATATATATATATATATATATATATATATATATATATATATATATATATATATCAGTGGCGTAGCTGGGTCGGTTGTAACCTGGTGCGGCACCTGATGGTGTACCCCCCCGTAGAACAAAAGAATATATATATATATATATATATATATATATATATATATATATATATATATATATATATATATATATATATATATATATATATATATATATATATATATTCCTTATACACTTGTATACATATACACATGTGTATAATTATTTAATTTTTTTTTCTGCTGAATGTATTAAATTATTTCCCCCCCCACCCCCCTCCCCATACATGGTTTAACATATAGCTTATTACGATTCTCAACCTAGCCGTTTTCCTCAGGCATATGTATTGCAACGTTGAGTGGCACCACCCGCACCGGGATTTGTCCACTTTGCTCTTAAAAAACTATTTAATTCACTCTATTTAATCATTTAATTAATTTTTCTGCATACATCTTACTTACTTTTGCCTTGTTTTAACCCCCCTAAATGGTGTCACCCGGTGCGTTTCGAACCCCCCTCTTGCTCGCTGTATATATATATATATATATATATATATATATATATATATATATATATATATATATATATATATATATATATATATATATATATATATATATATATATATATATATATATATATATATATATATATATATATATATATATATATATATATATATATATATATATATATATATATATATATATATATATATATATATATATATATATATATATATATATATATATATTCATGACGGAGTGCTCGAATGGTAGAGCGTTTGGCTGCAATCCCGAAGGTCCCTTGTTCAGACATGAGCATAAAGGCCGTCCCTGAGTCGACCCAGCACTAATGGGCACCTGATTTACGTTGGTGAGAATAAAGGCGGCTGGGCATAATGCTGACCTACCATCCCTTTCTAAGCATAGATAAATACATCAATGAACAATCCTTCATCTATCCAATAAATCGCTAGGTAAACAGAATAATCTTTCCTTTTACTTATAGCTGAGGCTGGCGTAATGAAGGCATAATGAGTACAGTGTAATTTTGAAATGTAAAAAAAGTAAAGTTTCCCTTTCAAACCTGACGGTCTATGGGGCAAGTGAGGTATAGTTCACTTGTTTCTGTGACCTCGGCATATGAAAAGATAGTGTGGTCAGCACTATGCCCAGCCGCCTTTACCTTTCCCTAACCTCAGTTAGGTACCCTTTAGGGTTGGGTGGACTCAGGGACAGTCTACTGTGTTGAACCCGTTTTCGAACTCGAGACTTAAGGGTTAGCGGTCCAGCTCTCTACCGCTAGACCACTCCGTCAATTGTGACAGGTGAGCATGAATTACACATCGTGTTCGAAGATTTCAAAGACGTTGTGAAAATGTGAAGACGGTTTCTAATTGGTGTATTAGTTACGGGAAATGATTTGTAATTAAAAACTCGACGTAAACGAATGAACTCACCGCGATTAACAAACAACACTACTAAAGATAAAACGCTAGTGGTACGACATCAGCTAAATTTGGACACATCTACATCTGTTAGGTATCCACAGATAATCATATACTACTTATCTGAATCAATTTTACGTTTAAGGTAAAACTCAAGGATTCGAGTTTAAAAAAATTAACACTTTAATGCACAACGTTTTTTTTTTAAATTTTATTCTTATATATTTACATATTATTGTTTTTTTTTCTCTCATCAGTGTTTATATTATTTTGTTATTGTTAACAATTATATAATTACAACTTATTATTTATTGATTGTCTTAGAGTTGTTCTAGAAACTATCGCCTACCTTATGACCGTGGGGTAGATCTCACCTATCCACACCTGGGAGGTCCCCCAGCACCCAGATACACCAAGCTTGGCCACAAGACTTAGACCTGTCATAATTAGCGGGGCCTGATGGACGGGCGCTGGTGAAAACGTAATAGAATAAAGGTAAAAATTAAGTCAGCGATGAAATACATTACTATTTAGGACTTGATAACTAATAAAATGTGTTAAATACTGGTTGATATTTTCCCCCTGTTCTATTCAAATCCCAACTTCTATTTTAGATCCTTGAATGGTTACACCAGGAAGAAGCAGTGGCGGAACTAGAAAAAAAGGGCCACCCCGCAAAAATAAAATTCTGGGCTCTCCTCCTATATATATATATATATATATATATATATATATATATATATATATATATATATATATATATATATATATATATATATATATATATATATATATATAAATAAACACAGAACACAAGCATTGGATACTCATTTCTGGCCTGATAGGGTTTTGAAAAAAAATGTCTTTTTTTTTTTCAATTTTAACAAATTACATCATGTCATATGTGTGAGTGCATCAGTCTGTTTAGATTTTTATTTTAGATTTAGAACTAGTTTATTCAATAAGTTTGGCTTTAATGCAGGTCATGCGCTAATTAAAGCCCGTCAAAAAAAATATAAAGCTTGAAAGCTTTGTATGGGTAATGGTTTCTCGTGTTATGTTTATTTATTTATTTTTTTGTATTTATATTATTTGTTTTAAATATATTTCCTTTTTACGCTACGTCATTCTTTAGTTTGTGCTTTTTAAAAAATAATATTTAAGAGAAGTAATTGCTTTTTATTTTGTTTAGTACAAATGTATTAAAAGGAGCTTATGAGCACCCCATTTAACTATTTAAAAAAGGGAAATAAGTCATGGAAGTGTTTTGAACGTTTGCCTATCTTTCACACTACAGCTCAGGCATATTTATTTTTACGCAACAGCATGTGTTAGCCACTGTATAACATCACTACGGTAGTAGATCTGTTTGTTATTTACAAAAGCATTTACCATCAAGTAAAAAATGCAAGAACATTATTTTTTAACTATAAAAAAATGTATAATGGTCGGCTATGGGCCCCTAAATGGCGTGGGCCCCCCCCGCATTGCGGGGTCTGGCGGCACTGTAGTTCCGCCCCTGGGAAGAAGGGAATTCGGTAAATGGCTCAAGAGATACAGGGGGACTACACATAGAAGCGTTTCTCATTTTTGCATTGATATTTCAATAGCCTTATTCACAATGACCACAATTCAACACAATGGTCTCATTGAACATCAATTCACTTATTTTACGATCATAGAACAAACGCCTACGAAATGAACATAATCGAGCAAGTTTTTAAAGAAACAGAATCAGTTCTTACACTCAGACGTACATACAAAGACACACAGACATGCACAATCAGACATACACCTAAACACAAACAAACACACACACACAGACACACAAAGACATACAGAGAGAGACACAGATCTATACACGCTCAGACAGACCAACACAAAAACACACAGACATACATACACAAAGACACACACACATACACAAAGACACACACACATACACACACACTTCTTCTTCTTCTTCGTTCTTAATTTTGTTAGTGTTGGAAGGGATCGAGCCTTATCTGCCAGAGGGTTTGAACTCGAGACTTTTTCGAATTTATCAACTATGAACTTTTGCCGACTCGACCACGCCTCCATCACAAGTAAGGATACGTGTCAACTGGTTATTCGCCATTGAGGCCATTGACTCCGATTTCAGCCTGCTTTTCTTTTTGGATTTGCTTCCATAGCCTTTGTCCAACCAAGAACAAACTACAAGGCAGCAGTTGTTTGATTAGAAGAGTGGCTGTCCCAAGCTAACGAGCCTCATCTGCCCGAGGGTTCGAACTCGAGACTTTTCGGTTTAGCAACCATGAGCTTTACCGACTCGACACACACACTAACCAACACTTACCCCATGTACGAGCCACTAGACAGCCCATACTCGCTAGACAGGCGATCGCCAAAAATACCCTGCAGCAATTACCTCGACCAAACCTGAAGACATTATTTCTCTCCTCAATTTTGATAATATCAAAACATACACTGATTATTATCAGGCTACTTTATAACAGTCGATGACAAAATAACCTCGACAACTCGACCCATATAACGATGATTGTGAAAAACGACCCACATAACGAATATTGTTAAAAACGACCCAAATAACGAATATTGTTAAAAACGACCCAAATAACGAATATTGTTAAAAACGACCCAAATAACGAATATTGTTAAAAACGACCCAAATAACGAATATTGTTAAAAACGACCCAAATAACGAATATTGTTAAAAACGACCCAAATAACGAATATTGTTAAAAACGACCAATATCAGTGGCGTAGCGAGGTCGGGTGTCACCCGGTGCGGCACTTAATGGTGTCACCCCCCAGAGGACAAACTTTCAAATTTTCGATTTGCACCCCCCTCAAACTTTCGATTTGCACCCCCTCAAGTTTTCGATTTGCACCCCCTTCAAGTTTTTCTCTATATATTTTGCTATTTTATGCCCTGGTGTCACCCCCCTAAATGGTATCACCCGGTGCGGTCCGCACCCACCGTCCCCCATCGCTACGCCTGACCCATATAACGAATATTGTTAAAAACGACCCACATAACGAATATTATTAACCACGTAGACGAAAGCCTTCCCACCCTTTCTCTTTCTTTATTTCTCTCTCTGCTTATTATACGGTTATAACAGTCTCGATAATAACTCAAGGCAGGCAGTGGGTACCAAGATAAAATAATAAATACATAAAAACGTTTATAATTACAAAGCTTTTACAAATGCACTAAAAAGAAGAAAATAATACAATTTTTATTAAATATAAAATAATTTTTAAAAATATAATAAATCTGCGGTTACTTTAAATATAAAAAAAATTACTTTCTTTAAATATATTAATGCACTACTATTTATGTCACTTGATAAATATTTTGTCACTAGCCCTTCAGTCGGTGTCGTTTCGTAAAGCGAAAACCAAGGAATAATTTTATCGGGACTCTAAATGTCGGGGTGTTTGTAACATGATGGGGTCTTTTGGCGACATATCAAAGTAAAAAGTAAAGTTTCCCTTTCAAACCTGACGGCCTATGGGGCAAGTGTAGTAGAGTTCACTTGTTTCTGTGACCTCGGCACATGAAGAGATAGTGTGGTCAGCACTAAGCCCAGCCGCCTTTACTTTCCCACTCAATGTAGTAAACTAGATAATATCTAAATTAGAAACATCCCAAACTATAAATATTATATATTTACATTATTTTTTTTTAATGAAAAAAATTAAAGTTGAAGAACTGCATAGGCCTAGCAAAATACAATTAATGTTTTTTTTAGAAACACCTCAGCTATATTATTGTTATCGTGTTCATGATAAAAAAATAACAAAAGATATATAGAAACATTTGTTAACATTGAAAAACGTCACATTTATATTACTTTATATCACTGAGCATTTCAGATAAAAACTAACAACTTATGTTTACATAATTTCTGACCTGTTACTTAGAAATATCGTAGCTATATTACTCGGTACCTCTATCGTGTTCATGATAAAAATGTTGAGGTACATGTTACCGGCTAGGCTGGGTGCTGCAAAACTCAAACCGTAAAAAGTAATAGTCATCGTAACCCTGTTGATATAAGTAATACATGCATGATTTTATAAAATTATACAGCGATAATCAATCCCATATTATTAAAATAGTGTGTCTATTACAGAGTACAATTCAAATTCCGAAATTACAATTGAATACATAACAAAATATCCATAGGGCAGGAGGAGGAGAGGCTGACCAAGAAAGACCTGGAGACGTGACCTGGAACAAGACACCAAGAAGATTGGATACACCTGGGGACAGTTGGAGAGACTAGCCCAGGACAGAGACGCCTGGAAAGCTCGTGTCAGCGGCCTATGTCCCAGGAGGGACGACAGGCTAACCTAACCTAACATAACAAATTCTAAGAAGATTTAAAATTTTAATTTTTACGATTTTACAATATTTGTGGTTATAATTTATCATCAATTAATTACTTTTAATTATAACTTCCTATGAAAAACGTTACATCAGTTTGAATGTAACTGTCTAACACAGTGATGAATAAAATGTCTTTATTTCTTGGTTTTTCTTATCGCCCTCTTTTTCTGTAGTAAGTGACTGAACAACTTCAATACAAAGAGCTTTTGTTCAAAAGTCATAACTTGATTTTTATAAACTTAACTTAAGCAGCTTTGAAAACTCTTAGGAGAGAAACGGCTACTGGCCTGAAGGTTTCGAGTTCGGATCTCGGTACGAGTACGGCAGTAAGGGCAGCTGAGAATAGTGCTGACCACACCATCCTTTCATTTGCCGAGGTCAAGAAACATATTATGAACTCCACTTCATCTGTCCTATGGATTTTTAGGTCTGTAAGTGGAGCTTCACTAATAAGAAAAAAACAACCTTTTTATTATGCTATATTAGTGGCATGTTTCTCTCTACCCACCATTGAAATGAAAGGATGCACGTTGTCTTTGCTAACTTCCACGTTCTAAAAACATCAATATAGGAGTAGTTACTTCCCTTTGATTTGGATACAATTTCATCGTTGTATATTTTCTAGGGACGTTTAAAGTATAAAATAACTTACTGCAATGGTAAAATTGATACGTTAGAATAATGTCATTTGTAGAGTGTTATAATATGTTTAAACAATTTATTTTATTGTCGAATGTCATATATCAAATACCAAATGCCGCGAATCCAAAATAAATGAAACTTATCAAGTTTCAAATGTAACCCCATATCTCACCTCTGTTAAGCGTGGAAAATGTACCTTGTCTTTAACTAATATACTTAATGACTAGAGCAACAAAGTAATTCATAAAGAGAGTAGCGAAGCACGCCAAGTCTAATGTAGAAGATCTAAGTGTAACAGTGGTTGTACATTTTTGTATTCAGAACAAGGTTACACGTATTTGTAAAGATGCACACTCACCACCAGTGGCGTAGGCAGGGGGGGTGTTAGGGGGCGTCATAAACCCCCCATAGACCCCTCGGTATATATATATATATATATATATATATATATATATATATATATATATATATATATATATATATATATATATATATATATATATATATAAAGTATGAGGGGGTGCAAATCGAAAGTTTGAGGGGGGGGGGGGGTGCAAATCGAAAGTTTGTCCCCGGGTAAAAATTGAACCCCCCCCCCCCCCCCCCTTGAGACGATCCTGGCTACGCCACTGCTCACCACAAACTTACATAAAAACGTACACATTTAATGAACATAACAGACTTCTGAAAGTATGTCGGCCTATGGATAAGCTAATGAATACGCCTAATACAGCCCAAATTGATTACATTTAATCCAATTTCTATGAATTGTGGTGTTACTGCTGATGAACAACGTATGCCTTCGTCAACAAGTTTTGCTGGTCAAATATATCTGCTGGCTTCTGTTTTCACCAAGGAACCAAGGAAACTATTCCCCTCAATTATTTCAGTGGTTCCTATTAGCGTCCATTATATCAGTGGTTCCTATTAGCATCCATTATTTCAGTGGTTCCTATTATCGTTCCATTATTTCAGTGGTCCATATTAGCGTCCTTTTTTCAGTGGTTCCTATTAGCGTCCTTTTTTCAGTGGTTCCTATTAGCGTCCAGGTTTCTATGGCTTACATTAATTCAGGTTTTATTTTTATTTTCGATATCGACTGTATATTGTTCCTAGTGGTATACTTGTTTTTCAATATTTTCTGATCCCTTAAGTATACTTCGATGCTGGCAGGACCTATTTCTTTGATTTCTGTTTGTAATTTGTAGACCTTTACGCATACATTTATAATCTTACTACAAACCTATATGAAACTAATACATGAACACATATATAAGCTGAATTGTTTTCGAGAGAATATTATGTCTTCAAACTGGCAAATAACTTCTCTGCAAGAACAATTATCAAATTAAGAATTTTATATATACAAATATTGACGAGAATTTTCTACGTGTTGTTTATGAAATTTCATACACTCCATAAAGACATGTTTATTAAAAATTTTACATTTGCAAATTAAAACAAATCCCCCCTCCCTTACATCTAACAATTGTAAGTCATCTTGCCTTACTTACCTGTAAGACATCCTTAGCGTACCCAGGTACCGTCTTCCTGTTCATTCTCGCCATTTTCTCTAGAGCGACGTGCGCTTCATCTAGTCTTCCTTTGACAGCAAGCCACCTCACACTCTCTGGGAAATAGCTGCAGAATATTTTGCATGGCTATAATAAGTATGTGTAAATAACTTATTAATACCAGCATGTATATGTGCCTGTAGCGTTCAATCACTATGACAAATTTTTAATACGTGTATAACTGGCTGGAACAAGGCCCTTAAGTGAGGCAGACTTTAATGAGATGAAGATTGGTGTAATCCTTCTCACACTTCCTACGGCAGATACCCCAGAGCTGGGTTCCTTGAACGAATCATGTATAATTTATTTTCTACTTTTTAGTGCATTATTACATAAAGCCTTGATATTAAAACGTTTTGTGCGAAAAAATTTTCAGTACTTTCAATGTTTTAAATTTACAATAGAGTTGCATGACTAAAAATCATGCGCACCTAATGAACATGACGACGCATGTCTAATAATGCGGAATAGTTTGATGAGACAGTCTACTAATTTGCATACAATTTTAATTAATTCATAAAAAATTGATCAGGCAACCAATTAAGTCAAATTTAATGTCATGTTGCATTGTCTTTATGTCTTGACCCACGTGGCAACGTTGAAATAATTATGTCAGTTAGAAGTGTCAGAAAATTTGCTCGGGCGTATCGATCTAGACAGTAGACAGACTGACGACTGACGACAGAGGAAGCCAGTTAAATAAAAGGTTGTTAAAAATTCATATAAAACGTTTTAATAACAAGCTTTTATGTAATAATGCACTATAAAGTAGAAAATAAATTATACACTACTTTTTAAATTACTATAAAGAAAAGCGTGGGCCTCTTTAGTACCTATTGGATACCTTTACTAATATTTAGGAAGAGACCCACGCATTTCTTTATAGTAATTTAAATAGTAGTGCATAATTTATTTTCTACTTTTTAGTGAATTATTACATAAAAGCTTGTTATTAAAACGTTTTTTATGTAAGTTTTTAATTACTATTTACAATAGAGTTAACATGATTAAAACCATTGCGCAGCTATTGAACGTGATGACGCGCGATTGCCGTGATGACGCGTATGGATAGAACTGACTACTAATTTGGCCAACATTTTAATTAATTCTTAAAAAAATTAATCAGGCGACCAATTAAGTCAAATTTAATGTCACGATGCATTGTCTTCATGTCTTGACCCACGTACTAATTACGAACTGTATCTGTCAGTTAGAAGTGCCTGCAATTTCGCTCGGCCGTTTCGATCTAGACAGACTGACGACAGAGGAAGTGAGTTAAATAAAAGCTTGTAAAAAAATGAACATCTTACAAGTATCCCAGCATGCTCGGTACAGAGACTGCTGCTGTAGCTATGTGCAGATGTTCCCAGTCCTTCAGTATCCACGCAGCCAATGCGAAGGTGCCTCCACCTATTGCCCAGACCGGGAACACAACCATGACCCGCCACTTAGGGGGAAAGAACTCGCCACAGAAGGGGACAGAAGTCACCAGTACTGCCCCTGTCAATAGAAAGCCATGAATCGTAAATAATCTTAAAGAATGTGAGAAATAAGAATAGAAGTATTTTTTTTAAATATTACAAATCGTTTAAAATTAGTGCTTTTAGAAAAAAAGAGTTCACATTTAGCAATATAGTTTATAAAGTCTCGAAAAATATGTTAAATAATACATTTGAATTACAATCTTTATGAAGACTTAATCTAACATGTTATTACATGTCTCTAAATATGATTACTTTTGAACATAATTTTAATCTGAAAAAAAAACAAAAAAAAACGGACTGGACAGCACCCCTCCCCCCCCCCCCCCACACACACACACGCTCTCTTACCCTAGGAGTTTGACGTCATGTACGGACGACCTTTGATCTGTGTTTACATATCTCACCTATGGACACGCCGATAAAAAATCTAAGCGCGCAAAACATTTCCCAGGTGACAGAAAACGCTGACGTCAAACTTAGTGCCATCTGCAGCAGAAAGAACCCGTAGATGGTGTTCTTGCGACCGTACGTGTCCCCTGTCTGTCCGGCCACTGCCGCACCCACAAGGACGCCGGCCATTTGAATGGACACGATCAAAGATTTCACCCATTTCAGGCTGCACACCAAACTCCACTGGGGAAACATTCGTGAATGATTGTAAAAGCACAGCCGCTTAGGATTTCTTTCAGGCATTTTCACGGGTTGCTTCCAGAGGCGTAGCGACCCTTCTCGGCGCCCGGGGACAAACTTTCGATTTGCACCCCCCTCATGCTTTCGATTTGCACCCCCCTCAAACTTTTAATTTGCACCCCCCTTCAGGATTTCGATTTGAACCCCCCCCCCCCACTCAAACTTTTAATTTGCACCCCCCTCAAACTTTCAATTTATTTTTCCAACACATTTTGGCGCCCCTTAGGTCGGCGCACGGGGACATATGTCCCCCCCCCCTCGCTTCGCATCTGGTTGCTTCAGATACTGGTAAAAGTATATATTTTATTGCATTTCGTAAGGGGGTAGGAGGGGGCGTTGCACGTGCATTTGGGATGTCTGAAAGTAATACCGTTTGCATAATTATAAGTAAATGTGTTTAATTAATAGTAATAAACATCTTTTTTTATTCAGATTAAGGTTTAGATATATGTTTGGAAACTTTTTCTTCCAGATTTTTTTCTCCGGTAAAAGTATATATTTTCTATATAAATTACATTTGGTTCGGGGGAGGGGGGGAAGTGGTAGAACAGATGCCTGGAAGAAACTCTGGAAAAGTGTTTGTTTCATGATATAACTAAGTATAATAATACAATGATAAATCTTCGCGTAATACTGAAACACCCAGACTAACGAACTTACAAATAGTCAGCCAAAACATTCAGCAAATATAATTTTCCTCGACTGAATAAAGCTAACACGGTGTCAAACTATCTAAACATAAACACGGCATCAAAATATCTAAACATAAACAAAAGTTTACCTCAGATATAATCGTCCTGGGTGAGCTCTGGAACAGGAAGTCTGTACACGAGGTGCCATTGACGTCACAGACGTTCATGACGTCATGTCCGGATTGATTGGCTGCCCGTGTTGTGGTGTTGTCGTTGGTGGTGGTGCAGTAGTAGGGAGGGATAACCCCAGCAAAACTTACCATCAACATGCTCCATGCGCACTAGATACAGATAGCATCCACACGTTTAGCGTGCATAGTTTAATAGTGTGACTGTTAAGTTAAAATATTGCGTTTGAGTCCTGCTGGTTGAATTATTTCACTCTTGTAGATGCGCTTAGTTTATAGCTCATTTGGTTTATAGCCTAGCTGTAGAGAGCTAGACTGCTAACCCGAAAGTCTCGAGTTCGAATACGGGTTTTAAGTTCGAATACGGGTTTTAAGTCAGTCGACCAATCTCTGATGGGTAACTGACCACATTATCCCTTAATATGCCGAGGTGAAGAAATGTATAAACCCTACTTCATCTGCCAAACGGATCGCTAAGTCTAAATAAGAAACTTTAAATTACTTAATTATTTTCTATCACGATTTTAAACCAATTCAGACATTTTTGAATTATCTAGAACTTATAATCGACACGTTCATAATCAGCGCTTGCTAAGTATATATTTTCAAGTATCGTTTTAAATAATTAATTATAAAGTTGATTACAAACAACACAGACTATTCAGTAATAAAGAGCTACAACTACAACATAGTCCTTAGTTTCTCGGAAATATATTCGGATCTATTTCAAACTTACATTTTGACTTTTATGTGAATATATTTTTGTTGGACATTGTGTTTGAAATCAACTGCGGATTCAGTTGATTATTTATTCTCACAAAACGTTCTATTTACAAAAGTTGATTTAAATTAATAAAAAAAACAGTTTTAATTAACAAACTACTATTTTACCAAGCTCTTGATACCGTAGACAAACGCTATCATAATAATTTGAAACAGGCTAAATCCACCAATGTCTTGAAAGACATTCTCTAGCGTCATCGTGCCTAGTTCCACACAACTTTTGCTGTGTTCACCAGGTAAGTTAACTAAGTTATAACTATTTAAGTACAGTTATCCTTGAATGTATTAAATGTAGCAATGATCACAGTTAATTACTGTGAAATGTGTCAACGCGAAAGAAATCATGCGTGACAAAAAGCCAGATACCGATCACAACCGTTGATTTAAAAATATAGAGATATCTTATAGTTGAGGAACTTTTTTTTTTTTTTTTGTAGATAGGGAAATGGGAAGTTATAGTTTGGCCTTGTATGACTGGTATGTCTTCAGTTGTGTAAAAAACTGCTAGAATTAAATGAGTGCTGTTATGTAGAGTATTGCAAGAAAAACGTGGTGTCATGTAGTATATATGAGACAATATAAAGGTGTCATATAGAGTATATGTTTGAATAGAATGGTGTCATAGAGAGTATACGCTAGAATAGAGTGGTGTCAAGTAAGGTATATGCAGAGCATATGCCAGAATAGGGTGTGTCATTTAGAGTATAAGCTAGTATGGAGTGGTGTCATGCAGTATATTTGAGACAATATAAAGCTCTCATTATTGTGCTAGAATTGAGTGGTGTCATGTAGAGTATATGTTTGAATAGAATGGTGTCATAGAGAGTATACGCTAGAATAGAGTGGTGTCAAGTAAGGTATATGCAATAATATGGTGGTGTCATGTAGAGTATATCCTAGCAGTGGCGTAGGCAGGGGGGGTTACCCCACGTTATATAGAAAAAGAATGAGGGGGTGGGGTGCAAATCGAAAGTTTGAGGGGGGTGCAAATCGAAAGTGTGAGGGGGGGTGCAAATCGAAAGTTTGAGGGGGGGGGGTGCAAATCGAAAGTTGGAGGGAGGGGGGTGCAAATCGAAAGTTTGTCCCCGGGTAAAAAATGGAACCCCCCCCCCTTGAGACGATCCTGGCTACGCCACTGTATGCTAGAATATGGTGTGTCATTTAGAGTATATGCTAGAATAAAATGGTGTCATGGAGTTAAAGGGCTGTGAGTATGGGTCGTGGGGGGGGGGGGACAGAGAGTAACTGAAAACACTCAATTATTTGTGTTTTTTTTAAATTGCTTTTAAATGTATCATATTTTTGGATCATGGGGAGTAGGTTGAGAGGATAATAAATGAACTTTAAAATCCCAGCCCATGTATCAAACTCATGATTTAATATCTGGCAAACATTGTTCAGATCTCGGATTCAAGTCAACTGTCCTGGGTCCACCCATCTCTAATGAGTACCTGGCTTAAGTTAGGGAAAATAAAGTTGGCTGGTTATATTGATGAATACATCATTCTTGTATATGCTGTGTGGAAGAAACATGAATTCTACGTTATCTACCCTAATGATCTTTAAGTCCGAATTGGAAACTACATACAGTTCTGAAGACGAGGTTTAAATAACCAGATCTTTTTAAACATTTAGACACTATGAAAATAGTCTTTTATTTTTGTGGCCTTCGTTCCTTCTTATAATACTAAAGGTGTTATCCTCGAACACAACTAATAACTAGGCTACATTTGATCATGTTGTGTGCCATATTGCCCGTTGACATCAGACTGCTTTTAATTTTGGATTTGCTTCCATAGCCCATTTCCACCCAGAGGCGTAATGAGGGGGGGGGGTGCGGACGGCACCGGGTGACACCATTTAGGGGGTGACACCAAGGCAAAAAATAGCAAAATAAGTAGAGAAAAACTTGAAAGGGGGGGGGGGGGTGCAAATCGAAAGTTCGAGGGGGGGGGGGGTGTAAATCGAAAGCTTGAGGGGGGGTGCAAATCGAAAATTTGAAAGTTTGTCCCCGGGAAGGGTCTCTACGCCTCTGGGGGGTGACACCATTAAGTGCCGCACCGGGTGACACCCGACCTCGCTACGCCACTGTTTCCACCCACATACATTCTGCAACTGTTGTTCGACTTTGGAGTTTTTTGTCGCAGATGCGTTGATATACTCGTATATGAGAAGACAATTGGACGGCGTAGCCTAAGCGGTAGAACGCTAGGCTGCTAACCCGAAAGTCTCGAGTTCGAATCCGGGCCCAAGACAGTCTAATTGCTGACCACACCTTATGTCGAGGTCAAGAAACATATGAACTCTACCTTATCTACTGAATGGATCGCTAGGTCTAATGAGGACCCTTACTATTTGATTGTATACAATATATTTTTATTTGAGTTTATTTATGTTAACTCTTCGTAAAAGATACTTTTAAAGCAATGTACTCTAGTATATAAATTAACATATTTTGTTAATGAATTAAAGCACTAAATCTAAGATTAGCTAATTTTAAATGCATGTCGTTATTGTTCTTTCTAAAAGCAGAACCGACAAGTTCCGATAAGTGGGTATGCTAATGCAGGTATTAAAAAACTATTACATGTGTCATAGTAATGAGAAGGCATCATTCATTTAACTGTCAATGTAAGCAATTAACCAAATTAAATATCTTAGTTGTGCATGTCGTTTTAATATTTATAGGCAATGAGCAGGATCCGTATTAAAAGTCGGTCGAAGGCTCCACATGCAAAAACGCATGCACAATTTTATTCGGGCATGCATTTTTTATTTGTAAAAAAAAAACTGCATTATCTTATCTTACTACAAAAATTAGGTTTCTTTCCTTTGCCTATGAAAATAGCAATCTTAAAATTAATGTGTAATGACCAATTTTTAGATACCTAATTAGATGTGAGATGTTTTATTTTCTTATGATGAGCACTCCGCAAGTAGGTTTGAAAAAAATCGCAGCATAAAAAAAAAAGTGTCATATTTTACCTGAGCTGGATTTACTTGACCAAAAACGTGTACCATCGGCTATCATTTAACTGTTGTGGATTCCCCAGTTTCTACAGGTCGAGAGAGTTCATCGCTTATTTCTGGCTTGACCTTCACATCATCTAAAATAAGATATTTCTTGAAGTGTGCTGTTAGTTGCATCATGTGTGGTAATTATGTTTGAGCTTCAATACCCGTAAAGAAAACATTAGAAAGGGAAGGAAACATGAAATTACTAGAACTAAAGCTCTATTTTTTTTATAATTTCCCCTTACTTGTAATTTTAATTAATAGTATTAAAATATAACGTGTTAGCCCGTTAGAGAGTGTTTAGTTATTTTATTTTAAAGCCCCTAATTTGATTTTTTTGAAATTAGCCTTACTTTACTTATTTTAAATCAAGTAGGGTGGTGAAAATATCACAGAAAACACACTTTTTGATTACAAATATTGTATACTTCCATAAAAAAAATTGTGGCATTAATTTTGGAGAAAACGACTTTGAAAAATAATTCTTGTGTACATCATATCTCCAACAATTTTCAATATACTTGTACTAAATTTTGCACACACTTAACTGAAAGTTATAAGAACAAATTGAACTAAAATGATAGCTGTATCTATTATAGATGTTTTTAAACAATTTTTTCCTGAACCCCACACTTGTTAATTTTCCGCCCTTTGACTAAAAATGTAAAAAAAAAATTGATATGCCAACTTAAATTTTTTTAGTTCATTATATTCTTAAGGGAATAAATAATGTTGGTGCTAAGTTTTATTTGAATATCTTCGTTAGTTTTTGTTATACTCTGTACAAGAGCAAGTCTGTTTTTCATCAAATTTCAAGAATTAATTTATTTGAAATGAATGTATACTATACTTGAGAGTAAAAATTGACTTTTCTTATGATTTTGTCATCACCCTACATTATTTAAGCTAGGTAAGTAAGTCTAATTACTAAAAATCAATTAGGGGGTTTAAGCTGTCCTATAGAAGCAACTTTGTACAAACATATTGTTCCCTGTGTCTTTGTCAGGTGTGTGACCTACTTAGGTCGAGTCAGGTTCTATTTTTTATTTTGACATTGTATAATACCTTATATGGAGTGATTGTGCAACAACCGGGGTTTTTCCACTGACTTATTAAGGGGTCTAAGACATAGAAATTTTCCATTAAGATCTGATTGAATGATTCTGGTCAGATGACTACCCCATAGCTCAATGGCTAGGATCTCGGCGCGCCACGGCGGCGGCCGAGGTTCGAATACTCGGTGAGAAACTGAGTAGAGTCTATGGTGTCTAGTGGTCTAGTGGCTTAGAAACTCGGCTTGCTGCCGAGTAATGTGGCATAGTGGTTAGGAACACCACTAGTGGCCTAGTGGTTAGAACCACGTAAAGTGTCACACCATAGGAAACACAACCAGCACGAGAACAGTAGCTCAAGTGGCCTTGAGTGATCTGTGAGTCTCCATTTGAGACTTGTCGCAGGCAGTTTACCTTGATCGGGCCGTCTACCTTGATCAAACAGTCTATACCAGGCCGTCCATATTGTCCGGCAATAGATTCTGACCATTTGAACGTGAGAGAACTTAAGTCCTGTGTGTGCTACGCTTTCTTAAGTTGATTTAGTCTTCTAGTATAATATTACTTGTCGCCAAGTAATTCTTGAAGCTATAGCAGTGTTGTGTGGCCTGTGGCTATTTTTTTAGGCAGTGTAGAAATCTGTGATAGTGTTTTTTCCTACACTCTGTAAGTTGGGTTTTGATATTTTATACATTAAATATTTTATCTAGTTTAACCTTGTGTTCTGCCACAACTGTGTTCGCTTATTAAAGGTTGTATGTAGATTGGATGAGTGTTAATTACAATAGTATCACTAGTTTTCCCTAGACATCGAATTCGAGCCCTAGTGTGTCGTTGTGTTAGTGTTCATCCATTTAGGCCGTAAGGCATTCGCATATGACCCCGAAAAAAGAATCCGGGACGTTCACCTTCTATCTGGCTGATAGATAGGGGACGTTACAGGTGTGTACGTGTGTTGTCTGGCGTGTCCAGTCTATTGTACAATGTCTTGGGAAGTTGATATCTATATCTGATAAGATATTAAGATACTTCTGCTTTTAACTCAAATACAAACTCTAGCTAGAAGCAAAGATGGCCGGACTATAGAGCGCACGAGTGCAAGCAAGAAAGCTTACAGTTAAAATCCCAGACTCGAGTTCGTATAGGGCTGGTAAGTAGGTCACCAACC